TTTAATATTGATTAGATTCATGTAAAATTAATTTGATATATTATACAATTTTTTTTTTAATAAAGAATTATAGCATAATCTAATAAAAAACAAGGATTGTATTTGATATTTTAACAAATAAATTTGTCATTATAAAATGGTTAAAATATATTTGGTAACATAAATTTTATAATATATTTTGAACTGAAATTATACGCGACTCAAGTTCGCATGAATTCTTTTAAGTTCGATCTGCAAAATGATAAAAATGATATAAACAGCAATAAGACATTATTGTGTACAATGTAGTACAACATTGCAAACTATATAATGTACAACTTGTACTAATTTTTTTTTTTAAAAAAATATTATAACAATGTCAAAAGATAGCAAAAGATTTAAAATATCATATTGATTGGTTAGAGAAATCGATTGCCGAAGAACATATTAAATTTTATAACTACTCGGATTTCCAAATAGAGAAAGGTTCATATGGAAAGATTGTCGAATTAGTTAGAAAAAGAAACAAATTTTCGCCATGAAATCGTTTAACAATTCTCAAGTCGTCAACAATGAAATTGTGAAGAGGTATAGTTATGTAAGTGAAAAGAAATTTTACATTATTAAATACTTGCTTTATTTATTTAACACATCGGAATGTTAATTATCATGAAAATATTATACGGTTATATGGTGTCACCATGGAAAACCCGGTGAGTATTTTATTGAATCTTTAATATTTTTTAATTTTTAATTTATAAATGCTTTTTTGTACAGAAGAATACTCTTTGGTCTTAGAATACGCTGATAGCGGTACATTGAACGATTATTTAAATAAACATTTCAGTGAACTTAATTGGGATGACTAATACCAGTTTGGCAATTCAACTTTCAAATGCTGTAGAATTTTTACATGAAGCAAATATTATCCATCGCGATCTGGTAATAATAATTTTTCTAATTCTGTCTTGCTAAAGTTATTGATTATTAATATTATTTAATTTAAAATTATACAAAGCATGCCGGCAATATACTATTACATCAGCAAAAAATTAAATTAGCAGACTTTGGTTTATCAAGAAAAATTACAGAAAGAAGCTTCAAGTAATTCATCAAAAATGTTTGGTATCATACCTTATGTGGACCCAAAACGTTTAAAGGATAGTTGTTACAAATCAAATAAAATGTCTGATGTCTAAAGCATTGAAGTACTTTTATGGCAAATTTCAAGTGAATATAAACCATTTTATGGCATAGATTATGATGTGAGTTTATCCTTAAATATCATAGGTGGAAAAAGAGAGAAAATAATTGACGGCACTCCACATGAATACTTTATCCTATATCAAAGTAAGTAATGTTAATAATATAATTTTATAAAATTTTTTTTCTTTCGATACTAATTTACTTATATTAGAATGTTGGAATAATGAACCAAATGAACGTCCAAATATACAGGGTTGTTTCATCTCTTGAAGCAATAATTTCTCTCAAACAACACACGTATTGACAATATTATTGAAAATGGATGTCATAATAGTGAATCTAAATTAAGCAAAGGAACTTCAAATTATGATTCCAATATTTATAAATTAGATATTACTAATATTAAACAAGAATATGTACAGTTGGATGATGATAATGTAACTGATGTAAAGAGAATTGCTTCAGAAGTAATCAACACTAATGATGATAACGTATAACTTATTGAACCAAATTTTAATACGAAATCGTCAATCCGCAGTGGAATAGATGTCGCAATAAACATTTCAGTACCATTTGAAAGTTTTTTACCACTTATAACAGAAGTAGCCAAGGTTTTCAACGAAATCGTAGAATTATATCAAGCAGCTGAACATAATAAAAAAATATGTGGGATTTTGTTGGATAGAGTCCAAGTTGCTGATACAGCCGTAAGAAATTTTAAAAAACCGTAGAGTTGAAATGTATTATTCTTTTCAGCAAGAAACTTATATAATTTACAAACTAGATTCATGGTCATGGCCGGCCAGGGGTCGGCCTTAATATTTTATTTAATTTTAATTTGGTTTGATAATAGCGCGCGAAGTTTTTTAATTTTGATTTTTGATTTTTATTTTTTTAATGCTTAATTTTTTTATCATCGTGATTTTTTTTTAATTTTGATTTTTGGGTTTCGTTATTTCTTTTTTTTATTATTATAGGTTAGATCGGTTCCCTCTCTTAGGACGGAATTTTCAAACGGATCCCGTCCGGTTCCGGCAAAGGTAAAGCTGACTAATTTTTTTTGATTTATTTTTTTTTCTTTGATAATCAGTTCTGATTAATTTTATTTATTTGTTTATTTTTTTTTTTTTCTTAAACGGTTTTTAGATCAGACCGGATTTCTGAAGAATTTTTGATCGGTGGCGAAAACAGGGGACTAAAATTATTTATTTAATGCATTCTTTTATTTTATTATTCCCACTATTATTTTTTGGGAACGGTCATAAAATGGAATCACCTGACACCACCAAGGTGATCACAAAATTTGGTAAGTGAATCATTGTATTTGTCTCTTATTATATTTTGATAGATTGAAGGTATACAGTACAGTTTTTATTTTACAAATTGCAGATAAATAGAGATAATTATAATACAAAATATATAAAATCTGCGGAATATAAATAAACAAAATATACAAATTTACTTAAGATTCCGATTGTAAATTCCCAGGGTTCCGGCAAATTTTTCTCCCTCAGTTTTTCGACCCTTTAATTTGAATCCAAGGAAAAAAGTCTCAATAGCATCCTATGCTCGACAAATCACAAGCATCCCCGAATAAATCAACCCACAATGTATTATACCCGGTAAAGATGCCTAGAAATAACAAGAGAAATGCCACTATAAAACCACACGTGGAAAACCAAACATGTAACCACCCTTTCCCAGACATGATTAAATCACTTTCTCCTTTTATATGCCAAAAATAGGCATATTTGCTGCGACAAAAATATCCAACCGGGGGTGTAAAGTAGACGATAAGTACTGTCACCCAAGGATAAACTATTGATAATAAAGCAGTTAACGTAACGGTTGCACGTTTATGAAATTTAAGTTTATCTTTAGGATCGTTATCAACAATAATTAGTATCTTGTCAAAAACATCGCTAGGATCTTTGACTATTAGAATCCCGTAAAATCCTCTTCTCCAAATTGCTGGAATTGTCCAAGACAATAATAATGGTAAATATGTCCAACCTTCACAAACTATTTCTCCTTGAACCATGGAAAATCCTGCCACTAAACCGACCATTATGTAATATGCTGAAACCAATGAAGATAATCTTTCTAGCACTGATGCTTTTGCCGTGCATCGTTCCACATATTCCTTTATATGCTCATTTTCTTTATGTTTAGTTTCATTGCATGAAATCAAAAAGGTCTGTATTTTGGATGACGATCTGTTCCTTTTGTCGTTTGTTTCTTCTTCGTTATTTGTGTGCTCCACGACCGTAAAGTTATATTCTGAAAGCCAGTATATGCAGCGGGATACTTCAGGGAGTGAAAGAGTCCATCAAAAGGGCATCCAAGACACCTAAGCAAACCATATAATCTTTGCGCAAATTCAATATAGGGCGAATCTCCCATAATTGCAATGGCCGGGGGACTACCAAGAACGTATTGAGGCATAATCTTGTACGGTGCTAATGTAGTCTCTGCCATTTCTGCCATTTGATTGTATAAAAGATATTAATGCAATGGGTGAGTGTTGCCAAATTTTTAATAAAAATAAAATTTCGATTAACAATGAACTTATAATGATTAAAAACAAACACGAACTAAAAAAAATAATAATAATTATAACTAGGAAATGGAAACCATTTTAAGTCCGGAGCGAAATTTTTATTTAAAATAAATAAATTAATTTTTATTTTTGTTATTTTATTTTTGTTTTTTTTTTTTATTTACTGATCTTATCGTACACGCGGCGTGACAAACGGAAATCCTCACGTGATTATGTGTGTAACCATTAATTCGTAAAAGTATAATGTCCTACACTTCGCTCCGGACAATAAATTAATAATTATATATCAATGAAAAAAATAAAATTGATTTCATTTACTGTGAAAATAGAAAAATAATGTTTTTTGGCGTAAATTTATAAAAAAAAAAAAAAAAAAAAAATTACGTTCGAACCATAAAAAATTTTTTGCGTATAATTTAGATCTATCAACCTTAAGTTTAAAATATAAAGATATTAACACATAAAAATAAAATAATTTTAGTTTGTTTACATTGTTAACTTCTCTATATGAACTTAAAAATAATTAAATCGAAAATTAAATATAAAATTACGATTTATAAAAGTGGTCGTACTACATGTCGCTCATTACGGAAAAAACAAAGCAAAATCTAAAGTTAGATTATGCAGGCTGTAAAAATTGCATGAGTCGTTTCTTTTAAAATTCTTTATTTAGTTGATGTTTTATCAAAGATTAAGCATGTAAACAATAGCTCGAGTTTTGCGAAACATCTGAAAAATGATTGAATGATCGGATAATCAAATATTTGGCTGAGATATTCTTTTTCTATATTTGTTATGGATCGGTAGTACGAGAAAGAAAATGATCATGATCCAGAAAAAACATCAGTTTTAAAAAACGATTTTTTTTGGAAGAAAGAAGCTAAAAAAAAAGGGCAGTTACTATGAAAAAAACATTCTTCCGCTCCTACATCCAAATGATTAACGAAATACTGCGGTTACCATTATTTTTATTTAAATTTAATTTATTCTTACCTTATTATTACTCTTATTTAAAATTTATAAATAATTTATTAAAAAAAATAAAA